ACGCGCGCCCCCACAAGTACAACCTCACACATACAAACACACACACACACACGACACGACACGACACGACACGACACGACACGGCACGGCACGGCACGGCACGGCACGGCACGGCACGGCACGACACGACACGACACGACACGACACGACACGACACGCAACGCACACACGCACGACACTGGCACACACACACACACACTGTCTTTCTCTCTCTCTCTCTCTCTCTCTCTCGCACACACACACACTGTTTGGCAGTCGCGGCCTCGCGCGCAGCGACGAAGCGGAGAAAATCCCCAAGCGAGAAGGGCGCGCTCGCGGCCGGTTCCTCAGAAGAAGGGCAAGGATCCCATTGGATCAACCATGCGATGCGCACACCCGGGCATGGGCAGCGGGGGTGTAGATGGTGTAGGAGACGAAGCACGAGGGCGACAAGAAAGTTGCGCCGCGTTGCCGGAGTAGGGGAACGAAAAATGGCATAAACAGGAAAAACTCGGAGCTCCGCGCGGACTTCTTGGATCCGCGCTCCGCCAGAGGGCCCCAGCGCCGAGCCGAGAAATCCGCGCGGGCCTCCGAGTGTTCATGTCCACGTCATTGTTCGTTCGTTCCCCTGCGGAGGCCAGGGCGAGGTGCAGGTGAGGCGGGGCAGTTTTGAAAGGGACGGCAGCAGACCGACCCCGGGGGCCGCCAGAGGCCAGGCGACGGGGCGCCCTGCGCCGCGACGAGCCGCGTGCTGCCGCGAGGCGCCGCAGGAGGGGACCCCCCGAGGAGCCCAGCCCAGCGAGCAAGGGGCGCAGAGAGGGCGGCCGAGGCCGAGCCGAGGCGCGGCAGGGAGGAACGAGGCGGGGAGGCGACGCCCAGGCCGCCAGTAGGGGCCGAGCGGGGGGCGTCGCTGGGGTTGGAAGAAGAAGACACGCCATGCACCTAAACTTGTGGCCCTCCGCGCGGATTTCTTGGATCCGCGCTGGAACCCCCTCCCTGGCGCGCGGAGCGCGTGGAGCGCGCGAGGAGCGCCGCCCGAGGCGGCGCCCGAGGCGTCGCTGGAGGGTCCCAGCGCGGATCCAAGAATCCCGTGCGGAGCGCCAAAAGTTTATGTTTCTGGCGCTTGTCCTCCTCCGAAGGGTGCGAGGTCGCAGCACGGCGCCCGCAACAGCAGGAGCGAGGGACCCCTGCCGGAGCCAGGCGGTCACCCAGCGCGCACCGGGGAGGGCCGCGCCTTCCACCAGGTGGGCGGGGGGAGGCAGCGCGGTGCCTCCCCACCTACCAGACCACCCCAACCCAACCCGAAGACCCGAATTTCGGGTTGGGGGGGGTATGGGCTCCATATGTGTTTTTTCGGTGTTCCCGGACCCCCCCCCCCACTAGAAATCGAGGATAAATCTGAGCCTTCGGGTTGGGTTGGGGTGGTTTGGTGGGTGGTGACCCAGGGGCAGGGCCACGGGGGGCGCCACGAGCCCGCGCCGAGGTGCGACCGCCGGCGCGCCGCCAGCCAGCGCGGCGCGGCCAGGGGCGGCTGGGACGAGGCAGGTCGCGGGCAAGGGCCCCAGAGCCAGGCTCCTCGGGCGGCGCCGCGCGCGAGGCAGAGGCCGCCCGGGGCGGCGGGGACGCCGCGGAGGCAGCTGCCGAGCTGCTCCGCCGCGTCGCGGTCAGGGTCGGGGTGCGGCTGCACCGACGAGGCCTGGGCCGTTCGCACGAGGTCCAGTCACGCCAGGCGAGGGTGGCCCGGAGCGCGGCTTGGGCCACATCAGCTTGGATGGCGTCAGTGCGGTCGACGAGGTCCAGCAGGGAGGCCTCCTCGGCTGGGGCCTCGTGGACGGGAGGTTGTGCGGGAGGGGCGCGCATTGGCGGCGGACGCACGCAAGCACGCACAAACGACCGCATGCACGCACGCATGCACACGTCCCCTATGGTTTGCGTCGCGGTCACGCGCGCAGCGACGTGGCGGAGTCGGGACAACGAGAGCACACGCAGAACACACACACACACAACACAACACACACACACAAACGAACACATACACAAACACACACGAACAAACAAACAAACAAATTATCCCAGTGCGACCCTACCTAGGAGTTGGAGCATTTAGGAAAGCAGCATCTACATCTACACCGACAGCTACATTTACATATACACCTGCATCTACGTCTACATCAACATCAACAGCAAGACTCACATCTACATCTGCATCTACACCTACATCTACACCTACATCTACATACATCTACATCTACACCTACATCCGCATGTACACCTACACCTACATATATGCTACTAGAACCACGCGCGCGCTTCGCGCGCGCTTAGGTTCTAGCTAGGAGGCGAGCTTGAGTCAACGAAAGTCGCAGGGAAGGGGGCAGGGGGAAGAAGGCCAGAGAACGCTGAAGGATACAAATACTGGAACCCTCTTGTGATTTTGTGGGGGGCCTCGTCCGGCCGCTCGCTGGGAATTTGACGTAGCTTCTCGGGAGCCTCTGAACCTGTCGGGGGCCTCCTGGAAGCAGGTTCGAAGCATTTTGGGGGCCGATTTGGGGCTTCTCGGGGCCTCCTTTGGGCCTCTTGGGGGTCTCCTGGGGCCTCTTGAGGGGCCTCCTTGGGGCCTCCTGGCGGCCTCTTGGGGCGGAAGGCTCGAGCTTGCGGTTCGTGGTCCCCCTCTGGGCCCCCTCTTGGGCCCGTCTTGGGGCCCTCTTGGGCCATCTTGGGCGCCTCTTGGGCCGTCTTGGGGCCCTCTTGGGCTGTCCTGGGGCCCTCTTGGAAGCTTCTTGGGCCGTCTTGGGGCGGTCTTGGGCGCCTCTTGGGCCGTCCTGTAACGTCGGAAAGCCCAAAAGGCGACTTTGTGAAAAATGTACGTTTTACGAAGGGAATGGGCCAATTTTTGCGTCTAGGGGCCCTCTTGGGACGCATGTTGGAGGCTTCTTGGGGCGTCTTGGGGGCGTCCTTGGACGTCTGGAGGCCATCTTCAGCATCTTGGAGCCCTCTTGGAGGCCTCTTGGAAATTTCTTGGGCCGTCTTGGGCGCTTCTTGGGCCGTCTTGTCTGACCGGGGAGGCCTCTGGCAAGCCCCGACGAGCCTCCGGGGCCCCCGGGGCCCACATTTGTGGTCGGGGTTCCGGCCCCGGGCCCCCGGACCCGGTGCGCCGTTATATGTATATGATATGCTATGCTCTGCTGTGCTGTGCTGTGCTGTGCTATGCTATGCTGCGCTGTGCTATGCTATGCTAAGCAATGCTATGCTGTGCTATGCTATGCTATGTTGCGCTATGCTGTGCTATGATATGTTATGAAATGCTATGCTATGCTATGCCAGGTTGAGCTATGCTATGCTATGCTATGCAATGTTATGATTGGCTATGCTATGATATGCTGTGCTAGTGCTGCGCTGCGCTATGCTGCGCTAAGCTAAGCTAAGGTAAGCTAAGCTATGCTAAGCTAAGCTAAGCTAGGCTAGGTTAAGCAAAGCTAAGCTAAGCTAAGCCAAGCTAAGCTAAGCTAAGATAGGATAAGCTAAGCTAAGCTAAGCTAAGCTAAGCTAAGATGATATAAGCTAAGCTAAGCTAAGCTAAGCTAGGCTAGGCAAGGCTAAGCTAAGAGAAGCTAAGTTAGGCTAAGCTAAGTTAAGATGAGATAAGCTAAGAATAAGTTAAGCTAAGCTAAGCAACTGGGGGAACCGCGGGGCGGATCCTGGGGGAACCGCCCGGGGCGGGGAGCACTGCCGGGCCCTTTACGCACACAAGGTAAGAACCCTTCTAGGCAGAGCCCAGGTGGGGAACATACACACACACACACACACACACACACACGCACACGCACACGCACACGCACACACACACACACACACACACACACAAACACACACACACACACACACACACGCACACACACACACACACACACGCGAACACACACTCTCACACACACACACACACACACACACACGCACACGCACACGCACACACACACACACTCACACACACGCCCCCACACATACAACCTCACACACACAAAGAAAAAAAAACACAAACAACACACACAGCACGCACACACGAAAGCACACACGAAAACACATACACATTCTATCTCTCTCGCACGCACACACGCACACGCACACACAGACACAAACACACACACACACACACACATGCACACACACGTTTTATTGGCGTCGCAGCCACGCGCATAGCGGCGCAGCGGAGTCGAAGTGGGGAAAGATATACACACTCACACGTTTTGCTTCGCAGCGAGGCCATAGCGGGACACACACACACAACCTGAAAAAAAGCATTCATGCACACACACACACACGCACACACACACACACACACACACGCGCACACACAAAACACACACGCACACACGCGCACACCCACACACACTCACGCAGACGTTCACACAAACACACACACACACACACAAACACACACACACACAAACACACGCGCACACGCACAAACACACACACACGCACACACACACACACACACACACACACACACACACACACACACGCACACACACCACAACACGCACGCACGCACGCACGCACGCACGCACGCACGCGCACGCACACGCACACGCACACGCACACTTACACGCACACACACACACACACACACACACACGCGAACACACACACACACACACACCCACACACACACAAAAAAAAAAAAAACACACACACAGACACACACACTAGCGCGCGCGCGCGCGTTGCAGGCGAAGGCGCCACTCTCACAGGCAACGAATAGCAACACGCGCATACCTAGAGCCAGCTGCTGGGAACGACGGCGTAGCTGTGAAGATACTCCACACGTTCAGAGGGATGCCGCGGTGCGAACAACAGAACTGCACAACGCCAGGACGGGATAAGATGCTGGACAGGGACATGCTGGTCACCTCACACACACACACACAAACTTAGTTAATGACACCGGACGTGCCAAGTCCAACGCCTGGCCAAAGGACGCGGAGCAGCCACAGAAACTGCGGGGCGGCGCGGGGGGGAGCCTGGATGGCGAAGCCGTTCAGCGGACCGGGGGACCTGGGCCCCGCCGCGGCGCATTCCCGCTCGCCACCGGGCCACCTCCGAGCACTGGACCTCCTCCAGAGCCACGTCGTGCCGACCGAACCGAGTGAGCGACCAACCGCACAGAAGAAACTGCTCACCCACCCACCCACCCACCCACCCTGACTACCTACCAGACCACCCCAACCCAACCCGAAGACCCGAATTTGATCCGAATTTCGGGTTTGGGGGGGGGTACGGGTTCCACATGCTTTTTCAACGTTCCCCGACCCCCCCCCCCCCGGAAATGGAAAACAAATTGAGGGCTTCGGGTTGGGTTGGGGTGGTTTGGTGGGTGGTGACACCCACCGCTCTCTTCACCCCTAAAAACCTCATGGCAATAACCACCGAAGAAGCAACCCAGCAAAGCCGGGCAAACCCTCCAACCGGCCAACCCCTCCGGGCAACCCTGGCGGTGAGACGTTGGCCTGAGTGCACCCCAAACAGTGATATCTTGCAATCTATGCGATGCAACCAAGGTGGTGCAATCAATGCGATGCAATACATGTGGTGCTACGCAATGCGATGCAAAGCAAGGCGATTGTAATGCAAAGCATTGCAAAGCAACAACGCATAGCGACGCAAAGCAATGCAAAGCAACACAAAGCAATGCAGCGCAATTGAAAGCCAAAACATGCTAAGCAAAGCAACACAATGCAACGCGATGCAAAGCAAAGCAATGCAAAGAAATGCAAAGACATGCAAATCTATGCAGAGAAATGTAAACCACTACAAAGAAATACAAAGCAAAGCAATGCAACGCTAATGCAAAGCAATGCACGGCGGTGCAAAGCCATGCAAAGCAATGCTGGGCAATTAAATGCGATTGCAACGCAAAGCAATGCAAAGCAAAGCGAAGCAATGCAATGAAATGCAAAGCAAAGCAGTGCAAAGCGATGCAAACCAATGCAAAGCAGCGCAATGCAGTGCAAAGCAACGCCACACGGTTGCAAAGCAATGCAATTCATTGCAAAGCAATGGAAAGCAATTCCAAGAAATGCAAGTTAATGATTGTCAAGCAGTGCAAGCTGGGGACTCCTACGGGGTTCCTGAAGGAGGCCAGGGGGATGTGTGAGGCTTCCTTAGGGATTCGCGAAGGCCCCCCTGAAGGAAATGGCGACGATTCGTCAGGGATTCCTCAGTTAGGACGCCTGAGAAGATCCGAGAGACGCCTCCTCATACCCCAATTTCTCCTCCGCCCCCCCCAACGCGGCATTCTTCCATTCCCCCCTTAGATTGATTCCCCAGCCATCCTGTTGTGCTGGGTCCTCGCTTTGAAGAGACAGCGCCCCGCGTTCCCTCCTCCTCCTCCTCCTCCACCACCTTCTCCCTCCTCCCGTCCTTGCCTCCGCCATCAGCGCGTCTCTGGTTGGGCACACCCGTCACACGCTTCGTGGCCCCATATGGAGGTCCGCAGAAGGACAAAATGCCAGCGTTCGCATGAACCCGCGGGAGTCATTTCGGCACACCCCTCACACGCTTCCTGGCCCCACGAGGAGCTCCACAGAAGACCGTAGTGGCTGCGTTCGCATGCGCCCGCCGCACCGATTTCGGCACACCCCTCACACGCTTCGTGGCCCAGCAGGGAATTCCCCCGAAGGCTCCAGTGGCTGCGTTCGCATGTGCCCGCCGCATCTGTACCATCCTCACATGCTTCGTGGCCCCATAGGGAGCTCCACCGAAGACTCCAGTGGCTGCGTTCGCATGCGCCCGCCGCGCCCATTCTGGCACACCCCTCACACGGTTCGTGGCCCCAGAAGGAGCCCCACGGAAGGCAGCAGCGGCTGCGTTCGCATGCGCCCGCCGCACCTATGTCGGAACACGCCTCACCTATGTGGCCCCATAGGGGGCTTCACCGAAGGCCCCAGTGGCTGCGTTTGCACGCACTCGCCGCAAAAATTTCGGCACACCCCTCACACGTTTCGTGGCCCGATAGGGACCTCCACCGAAGGCCCCAGTGGTTGCGTTCGCATGCGCCCGACGGACCCATGTCGTTACACCTCTCACACACGCTTCGTGGCCCCACGGGGAGCCCCACCGAAGGCCCCAGTGACTGCGTTCGCATGCGCCCGTCGCATCCATGTTGGCACACGCCATCACACGTTTCGCGGCCCCATACGGAGCTCCACAGAAGGCACCAGTGGTTGAGTTCGCATGCGGCCGACGCGCCCATTTCGGTACACCCCTCACACGTTTCGTGGCCCCATATGGAGCTCCACCAAAGGCCCCAGTGGTTGCGTTCGGGTGCTACCGCCGCACCCATGTCAGCACACCCCTCACACGTTTCGTGGCCCCATACTTAGGGAGCTCCACCGAAGGCCCCGATGGCTGCGTTCGCATGTGCGCGCCGTACCCATCTTGGCACACTCCTCACACAGCGCGTGGCCCATAGGGAGCTCCACCGAAGACCCCAGTGGCTGCGCTCGCATGAGCCCGCCGCGCCCATTCTGGCACACCCCTCACACGGGCCCCATGGGGAGCTCCACCGAAGACCCCAGTGGCTGCGTTCGCATGCGCCCGACGGACCCAATTCGGCACACCCCTCACACGGTTCGTGGCCCCATAGCAGGCTCCACGGAAGGCAGCAGTGGTTGCGTTCGCATGCGCCCGCCGCACTCATGTCGGCACACCCCTCTCACGTTTCAGGGCCCCATAAGGAGCTCTACCGAAGGCCCCAGTGGCTGTGTTCGCATGCGCTCGCTGCACCAGTTTCGGCACACCACTCACACGTTTCGTGGCCCGATGCGGAGCTCCACCGAAGACGGTACTACAACTGCTTTACTGACGACTGCATATGGTTGGGTCATTCGTCAGGCTAATGTCATGTTCCTCGGCTGTCCTGAAGGGTTCTCAAGCCCCCAGGAATATCACCCCCATTGCACCGCCAGCGTAATTTGGCACCCGCATTCCGAAATCATTCTCTCGCCCCCATCCGGAACAATTGTGGTAGGAGTGAACTTGTAGATGAGGTAAGACGAGGGGGGCGGGCCGTCTCGAAAAGCTCAGAAGACCTCCGGCTTTCTGAGAAGCGTTCCAAGCCTTCTCCGAGGCCAGTGGACTTCTCAGAACCTCGGGGGACTTCTGGCAAGCCTCGCCGCCTTCTGAGGAGGCCTGCCCCTCGCTTCCCCCCTCGAGGATGTCCCGTGTTTGGTCTTCGGCCCCTGGGCGGCCTGCTCGTGGCCACGGCTGGACCCGGCTTCTGACGCCGAAGCGGGCGCGTTGAAAGCAGATCGGACTCCCGCCCGCCCCCCGAAGACGAGGGAAAAGAAGCAAAGCCGCTCGACTCTTGAGACAGGAGGCGCCCGAAGCAGACCGGCGTCTCACTGCCACGCCGGCCAAACGCTCCCATCAGAAGGTCCTCCTGCTGCCAAAGTGCCGGGCCTTCTCGAGCAGCATCGATCGGCGGTGGACAAACCTCCCTTTAGCAACCCTCCCCTTAGTGAAAACGGCCCGGAACCGAAACCGACGGACCTCGACCCGCAAAAATGACGGCCGCGACGCCCTCTCGCGAAGCGAAAACGGCCAACTCCCTAATCGACGTGTCAGGGTCGGAGGTCTATCCACCTCCGCATCGAGCGCGTGGCACGCGCAGTCTGAGCGACGACGCGCGTGTCACGGATACCGTTTACAGTGCCGTTTTAATACGCTGGATTTTTGTAAAGCATTGGAATGCTTAATAAATGCTTAATGTATGAAGAAATGTATGCATGAACTCCTCGTTGTTTTTAATACTAAACCCCGGCATTTTTTATACATGATCCGCACGCGGAGCATGTATTAAAAACTGCACTGTACGACGTGCGAGCCCAAAATCTGCACTCTGCGACCGACGGGCGGCTCCTCGGAGCCCCGGCCGGCGCGCTCCCTCCGGCCAGGGGGCTCTCCCTCGCCGAAGTGCCCCTTCGGCACGCCGCCTGCTTGCGACGTCGGAGGCCGAGGACCGGACAAACGAACCAGCCTGCACTCTGCGAGGCCAAGCCTGCACTCTGCGACTCTGCGACTCTGCACGACGTGCGAGGCCAAGCCTGCACTCTGCGACCGACGGGCGGTTCCTCGGAGCCCCGGCCGGCGCGCTCTCTGGCCGGCGCGCTCCCTCGCCGCAGTGCCCCCGCGGCACGCCGCCCGCCTGCGGCGTCGGACGCCGAGGACCGGACAAGCGAACCGGCGAGTGCGGATGTCGGCGGCGCGCCGAGAGGCGGCGGGGCACAAGGAAGGGGCCCCAGGACACACACAAATAAATACACACAAATAAAAGGGTTCCCCATATTTTCTTATATTTTCTGGGTTTCTGTCTTCCCCACCACTTCCCATGTTTTCCCATATCTTCGGGGGAATCGACGATGAATTGTGTCTGTGTGTTTCTTTCCCTCCTGACACAAGGGCTCCCAACTTCGCGCTTCGCGCCGCGCGAGGCGCGAAGTGCGAAGAACTTCGCGCTCTCGCGCCGCCTCCCGAGGGAGAAGGAGAGGATGAGGAGGAATCGGAGCCGAACCGCGAAGCGCGAAGCGCGAATAACTTTGCGCCCTCGAGGGCGCCCTTGGGGCAGGCCTTCTCACGAAGCTGCGGGGCTCCTCAGAAACCCTCCGGCCTTCCGAGGGACCGTCCGTGGCTTCGGACAGAAGGCTTCGAGAGCTTCTCGAAAAAAACGGGGCCTTCCGAGCCTTCTGAGAAGGCCCGCCCCTTCTACCTTCCGCCCCAGGGCGGGCCTAACGGTATGTATCTGCGGCTAGTGAAGAACATGCATCTCCTTATCGGACCTAGGACCTTCGGTGGAGCTCCCTGTTGGGCGGGGCGACGCCATGCCAACTTTGCCTTTTGGGCCTCCAGCGGAGCTCCCTATGGGGCCAAGACAGCGGGGGAGGAAAAGGCGGCAGGAGCGGGGTGTGTGGGGACGCGGAGGGCTTCATATTCAAAACGAGGACGCAACACAACACGATGGTTGCGGCGAAAAAACGCGTGAACCATAACGGCTGCCCCCGTCGAAGATCCCGTCCGTCGTGCCTTCCCAGCAGACGGAAAGGGGACACTCCTCCATGCTCGAAGCTGACCAAGGAGGAGGGGGCAGAAGGGGAGACGAGGACGGGGACGAGGGGACTCAATGAGGACGAGGAAGACGAGAAGGAGGAGGACGAGGACGGACGAGGGCGAGGAAGAGGAGGACGAGGAAGACTCTGCCCCCAAAGCCCCCCGGGACGAGTTGGAGAAGGTCATCTTCAGCAGGAGCTGGCCCTGTTGCGCACGCCGCCGCGCCGCGAGGGGCGGGCCGGGCACGCAGGGGTGGCAGCAACGCGCGGGGGGGAGGGGGAGGGAACGGCGGGGACGGGACGGAAGAAGCGGGCGCGAAAGAGGAACCATGGGAGAGGGAGAGGGAGAGAGAGAGAGAGAGAGACGGAGAGCGCACCCCTTCGGACAGGGCCACCGTCTGGGACCCCAGGCCGCACGTGCTCGAGCTGGACCCGCCTCACAATGCGAGGGCACCTTGTACCAAACGGGGATGGTGGGATTAACCTCCCAGAAAGAGAGAGAGAGAGAGAGAGAGAGGGAGGGCCAGAGGGGGGAGGGCGGCTGGTCGAACTGCATTAAGGGGCACTGGTAGAAACGGCCGAGAGGGAGCAAGTCCAGCATACGGGGCCCATCCAGAAAGGGCGGAACAGATGGGGTCAGGGACGAGCTCTGTGCACGATTACTGGTCCCCATTCTCCTCCTCCTCATCCTCCTCCTCCTCCTCCCTCCCTCCCTCTCTCCCTCCCTCCTTCCCTCCCTCCCTTCCTCCCTCCTCCCTCCTCCTTCCTCCCTCCCTCCCTCCTCCCTCCTCCCTCCTCCCTCCTCCCTCCTCCGTCCTCCCTCCTCCCTCCTCCTCCTCCTCCTCCTCCTCCTCCTCCTCCTCCTCCTCCTCCTCCTCCTCCTCCTCCTCCTCCTTCCCAGCGGCTGGACCCAGTGATGCCCCACCTCGGCCCCACGACGGGCTCCAAGGGCGAGGATAGATGAAGGGCGGAGGCGTCAAGAAAGGGGGGATGGGGGGAAGAGAAGAGGAGCAGAGGGAGGGAGGGAGGGGAGAGGCGAAGGCGACAGGATAGGGGCGAGAGGGGGGGAAGAGAGAAAGAGAGAGGAGCAAAGGGGGAGGAGGGAACGGCGAGGGCGACAAGACAGCCACGTGGAGACGGGGGAGGAAAGGGCGGAGCAGAGCGCACGGGGCCCCACGACGAAGAAAGAACCAGCGGGCCCAGGGGAGCGGCGCCGAGCGAGGAACGCCACGCCCTCTCGGCCTGCCTCGACCTGGCCTCTGGCGACAGCACCGCCGGCGGGGAGCTCGTGGGCGCGTGCATCCATAGGGCGGCGAAACCTATACGCATACACTTGTGGATGCCACGACAGTGGACACCCTCACAGTCCTATCATTGAATGTAGAATGTGTTCAGCATGTCGGAAAAAAATGTTTCAACCATGTTTTAAACATGTGTCTTACATGTTTAAAACATGTTTGACACATGTTTGGGACATCTGGCCATTCTTTGGCTACATGCTTCCTCTCCATGGATCGTCCTCCACACATCTGCGCTGCTCCCTGGCCGTGCCCCTCCTGGAAACAGCAGCGGTGCACACACCACGCCCTCCTGGCTCGGCCAGCAGGCGCACGCGCAGCTCCTGGGCTCAGGATGGCCCTGGCCAGGGAGCAGAAGAGATGCCTTCGGGTGCTGCTAGAAGTGCCCCTGGCCCAAGGTGCCCCCAGGATCCTCGGGGTGGCCCAGACGGCCTCCAGAGCACTCCTCACTAGGCCCCGAGGGCCCCAGGGGCCCAAAAATGGAGCGAAAAGCTGGGTGTACCTTGGGCCAGGGGCACTTCTAGCAACACCCGATGTCTAGATCTCGTCGCCCGAATCCACCACTCCGGAACCAGCCGCTGCCGTGACGGGGCTCGGCTTTCTCGGGAAGACCACCGCCACCGCCCCGCCGACCTGCGCCACAGTTCTGCCCGGGCAAGGGCCTGGACATCTCTGGTCTTGGGCGATGAGGGGCGAGGGGGGGGGCTGCGGTTGATGCGGTCTCGCATGCGCCGCTCACCAGCAGCAGCTACGCATGCTCTTCGCACCTAGACAAGACCAGTCAGCGTCGAGTCAGGAAGCAGGTTCGAACCGATGCGAGCGTCGGATGGGGCTGCATCGGCACGGAGACGATATCGAATCCGATCGGTTGCGCCGAGGTGCGCAACAACGCCATGCAAACGTCGGGCCGCACCGGCTTGTCGGAACATCGGAGTCGAATCGGATCGGGCCAGCCAGGATGGACATCGAACCGGATCGAAATGGACCCTGCGATGGGATGGGCGGGGAGCTGCGGTTGGTGCGGTCTCACATGTACCACCCACCAGGACAAACGCGCATGCCCTTCAAACCTACAGCCATTGCGCTAACACTAGGAACGCTGAGTGGGGAACTAAAGGTTTCTGCTTCTGGCCCCGGCGCGCCTCGGCTACGAACTGGTCCCCGGAATTAGAGAACGGCCCGAAAATCAGAGCCTCGTCCCTGATTTGTTCAAAACGCGAGCATGTACGGGTAGACGCCCCGCGTCTTTCGCGTGGCTTCCACGCCCTGACTGCAGCAGGCAGCATCCCTTCGGAGGGCACGGGCGGAGCCATCCATCCGTCCGGGGCCCCCAGACGCTCCGCGTCTTCCGCGTGGCCTCCGCGCCCTGACTGCACCAGACAGCATCCCCTCGGCTGCCACGGGCGCAGCCATCCATCCATCCGGGGCCCCTCACACGCAGCAATTCTGGCCACAAGCTCAGTGGCGACAGGATCCCAAGCCCCGGCTCACCTTCTGCGGGAGTGCCGGCCTGCATCGAGAGCCATGGCGCCGAGCAAGCTGTCTGCTCGAGTCGTCGAGGAGACCCCCTTCTTCGGTTCGGGGCCCTCCCTCCCTCCTTCACTCGGGCGGGCCCCCCCCTGCTCGAGTCGTCGAGGAGCCCCCCTTTTCTTCGGCTCGGGGCCCTCCCTCCCTCCACCCCGGGGTCCCCCAGACGCTCCGCGTCTTCCGCGCGGCCTCCGCGCCCTGGCCGAACCCCCAGGCCGCAGCCGCTCGGGGGCCGCGGCGCGGAGGCCGCGGCGCGCTGCCCCCCGCGGCGGGCCTGCTCCCTCACCAGCGCGGACATGACGCCGAAGCCGCTCCTCCGGGCGCCGCGGGCCGGCGGGCGGCTGCGCGCCCTGCCCTCTCGAGGATCGAGGAGCATCGAGGAGGCTCGAGGCTCGAGGCTCGAGGCTCGAGGCTCGAGGCTCGAGGCTCGAGGCTCAAGGGCTCGAGGCTCGAGGCTCGAGGGCTTGAGGCTCGAGGCTCGAGGGCTCGAGGCTCGAGGGCTCGAGGCTCGAGGCTCGAGGCTCGAGGGCTCGAGGCTCGAGGCTCGAAGGCTCGAGGATCGAGGATCGAGAATCGAAGATCGAGGATCGAGGATCGAGGTCCGAGGCTCGAGGCTCGAGAGCTCCCTCCCACCCTCCCTCCCTCCCTCCTCCCTCCTCCCTCCCTCCCTCCTCCCCCCCCTCCCGCCTCCCTCCTCAATGCTCCCCCCTCCCTCCTCCATGCTTCACAATGACACAATTAATAAATGTGAATACTACTTTCCTCTCCCCTGGTGACGGCTGGGAATACTCGGCCCCCCTCCGCGTACTTGTCTTTTACACTCAGGATTCCCAGGAGTTGGGTTTTCGCTTGGGTTTTGTTCAAAATGCTGCTCTCGCTGAGGCGCTGGCTTCATTTTCGGGCTACCGCTCGTTCCGAATCGTGTTCCCGCTGCAGCGCTGGCCTCATTTCCGCGCTTCCGAATCGTTCTGGATCGTGCTCCCGCTGAAGCGCTGGCGTCATTCTCTTGCACAGGGTGTCTAGAGCTCCGACCACTTTATTTCGGCGTCGCACCGCCCCCCCCGCCCCGCCCCCCCCCCCCCCCCCTCCAACCACCCACGCCAACCACACCACCACCACCACCAGCGTGACACCGCCCCCCGCCCAGTGCTCCACCCAGCCCCCCTCCGCCCCGAACACTTTACACACCAACCACCACCGCCACCAGCGTCACACACCGCCCCCGCCCAGTAACCTGTCCACCCTGCCCCCCTCCGCTCCGACAACTTTACGCACCAACCGCCGCCACCACCAGCGTGGCACCGCCCCCCGTCCAATGCCCACTCCACCCCGCCCCCGTCCACCCCGACCACTTTATTTCGACGTCGCACCGCCCCCACCGTCCCGCCCCCCCGACCCTTCCCCCCTCCCCAGCCGCCCAGTGCCCTCTGTACCCCGCCCACCCCCCGCCTCGACTACTTCATTTCGGCGTCGCACCGCCCCCCCCCCCACCCCGCCCCTCCCGCGCCTCCATCCACCCACCCATACCAACCACCACCACCACCACCACCACCACCAGCGTGACCACCTCCGTCGCGATCACTTTATTTCGGCGTCGCAGGGCCACCCGTCCAGTGCCGTTTCTACCCCGCCCCTCTCCGCCCCGACCACTTTGTTTCGGCGTCGCATCGCCCCCAGTCCCGCGCCCACGACCCTTGCCCCCTCCCCACCCGCCCAGTGCACCCCGCCCCCTTTCGCCGCGACCACTTTATTTCGGCGTCGCACCGCCCCCACAGTCCCACCCCCCGACACTTCTCCGATTTCTCGTCCCCTCTCCCCCACTTTTCCTCTCCTCCTCCTCCTCCTCCTCCTCCTCCTCCTCCTCCTCCTCCTCCTCCTCCTCCTCCTCCTCCTCCTCCTCGTTCCCCCTCCCTTTTGTGCAGAAGCCATGGCACGCGTGCCATCTGTTATTTCTAGATCCATGCCACGGCATAGTTGTCGGTCCTTCCGAAAAGGCCCCAAAATCTAGAAAATTGCCCCCCCAAAAAAACAGTTCAAGTGATTACACTTTCGGTGTCGATTCTTTGGTTTTTGGGGTCGCGATGCATCGCAGACCGTCGGCGACGCATCGGCCACGTCGGCGTGGAGAAAATCGGGCTCCGCATCGAGCCCGACCTTGGCGGCACGCACAAGGGGGCAGGGGGAGGGGGAAGGCTTCTTAGAATAAGGCCCGCGCCTTCTAAGAAGCAGGGGTGCTTCTGAGAAGTAGGGGTGCTTCTAAGAAGCAGGGGGGTGCTTCTAAGAAGCAGGGGTGCTTCTAAGAAGCAGGGGCGTGCCTCTAAGAAGCAGGGGCCCTTCTAAGAAGCAGGGGTGCTTCTAAGAAGCCTTCTGAGAAGCAGGGGTGCTCCTCTGCACGTGGCCGACGATTGCCGATGCATCGGCGATGCGGCGCGATCCTCCGACCCCCCCTGGGAGGCCCAAGGAGGTCCACGGCAGCCCTCCGCCCGCAGCGCACCGCGCCGCTCGCCCTCGAGGGGCGGCCCCCTCCCCGCCCCCCCCCCACGGAGGGGGCGCGCCTGCCGCCCTGCCCAGGCTGCGACGGGTTCAGCACCGGCGTCTCGGGGCCGGCGCGGGGGGGAGGAGGAGGGGAGGGAGGGGAGGAGAAGTGCGCGAAGAGGAGGAGGACGAGGAGGAGGAGGAACAGGAGGAGGAGGCGGAGGAAGGATGAGGAGGAGGAGGGATGGGGGGGAGGGCTCGTGGCGCGAGAAGGGACGCGTTCGCGCGAAGGCTTGGGGCATTCCTGGTCCGTCCGACGTTGTCGCCGCGGCTGCGACTGCGGGGCGGTTGGGCTGCAGGCGACGTGGGCTGTCGGCGCGGAAGTGCGGCGGCCGCCGTACATGCGAGCGCCGCCCTTCTCCAGGAGGAAGGCAGCGACCAGCCGAAAGAGGCGCGATCTAACTCAAGTGCAGAGGGATGAAGCAACTGTCAAAGCTGTGACAAGCAGCGGCATCAGGGCGGGCGGGCCTCCATCTGAACCCCTATTCCCCTCTGCCCCGCCCCTGTCTCCATCTCCCCCCATCAAACCTCCTCGTCCTCCTGTTCTGTTCCTCCTCCTCCTCCTCCTCCTCCTCCTCCTCCTCCTCCTCATCCTCATCCTCCTCCTCCTCTCCTCCTCTTCCTCCTCCTCCTCCTCCTCCTCTTCCTCCTCCTCCTCTCCTCTCCTCCTCCTCCTCCTCCACCTCCTCCTCCTCCTCCTCTTCCTCATCCTCCTCATTTTCCTCCTCCTCCTCCTCTCCCTCTCCTCCCTCCTCCTCCTCCTCCTCCTCCTCATCATCATCATCATCATCATCATCATCATCAACATCACCACCATCACCATCACCATCACCATCACCATCACCATCACCATCACCATCGCCACCACCATCATCATCATCATCACCAGCATCATCACCACCACCACCACCACCACCATCATCATCATCATCATCATCATCATCATCATCATCATCATCATCAGCATCATCATCATCATCATCACCACCCTCACCATCATCATAAACAAGAATAACAACAGCAGCAGCAACAACAACTACGACAACAACACCATTATCATACTTACAAGTGTAATCACCATCCGCATCATCAGTATCATTATCATCATCATCACCCTCATCATCATCAGATGCATCATCATGATCTGCATCAACAGCATCATCAACATCATCATCGCTATCCGATTCCTCATCCTCTTCCTCTACTTTCCCGTTCGCCTCGTCCTCCTCTTCCTCCTCCTCCTCCTCCTCCACCTCCTCCTCTTCCTCCTCTTCCTCCTCCCTTTCCCCCTTCGCCTCATCATCATCATCATCATCATCATCATCATCATCATCAGCAGCAGCAGCAGCAGCATCATCACCACCACCACCACCACCACTATCATCATCATTATCATCATCACCCTCACCACCCTCACCATCCTCATAAACAAGAATAACAACAGCAGCAACAACAACTACAACAACACCATCATCATCATCATCATCATCATCATCATCATCATCAGATGCATAATCATCATCATCATCATACTTACAATTATAATCACCATCCGCATCAGCATTATCATCATTCTCATCATCACCCTCATCATCATCAGATGCATCATGATGATCTGCATCAACAGCATCATCAACATCATCATCGCTATCCGATTCCTCCTCCTCTTCCTCTACTTCCCCGTTCTCCTCGTCCTCCTCTTCCTCCTCCTCCTCCACCTCCTCCTCCTCCCTTTCCTCCTTCGCCTCATCATCATCATCATCATCATCATCATCATCATCATCATCATCATCATCATCACCATCACCATCATCATCATCATCATCATCATCATCATCATCATCATCATCATCATCATCATCATCATTCCCATCCTGACCATCATCATCACCACAACCACCACCATCATTGGCATCATCCCCATGACCATCATCATCATGTTCGGCAGAATCATCACCACCAGCAACAACACCATCATCACCACCTTCACCATGATCATCGGCATCACCATCAGCATCACCATCCTGAGCAACGCCACGTTCATCATAGTCATCACAATCATCACCATCCTCATCACATCATCACCAAGAACAACGCCACAAACATCGCGAACAACAACAGCATCACCATCATAACCACCACCGTCATCGTCATCGCCATCATCATCCCTACCACCATCAAACCATTACCATCGTCATTTCCTCCTCAGCCTCCTCCTCCTCCCCCTCCTCGTCCTCCCCCTCCTCCCCCTCCCCCCATCGTCCCAGGGAAAGGGCGGTGGGGAACCTTCTGGAACCGTTTGGTCATGCCCAAGGGGCTAGGCTACACCAAGCGGTGCGGCCGCACCCCGAGGCCAGGCACCGCATCCCCCGACCTGGTATGCACCCACGCCGATACAGATTTCGCTCGCCCGCCCGACTGAGTGGGAGGCGCAGGAGAGGGAAGCCCAGGAGGATGCAGGAGGAGGAACGGGTGTAGAAGAGGAGCGGGAGGGGGGGGTATACGGGAGGCGGATGCAGGAGCAAGAGAGAAGAAGGGCAACGGGGGACGGGAGGGAGAGGAGGAGCAGCAGGAGGGGGCGGATGCAGGAGGGGGATGCAGGGGAGGAGAGGGGGATGCATGAGGAGGATGCCGGAGTATGCAGGCGGGGAGAAACGGGACCACAGCAAACCCAGGAAGAATCAATGATGCTGCAATACACCCCCCCGTCCCAGGACCCCTCCTCAAAAGTCCCCGGAAGCCTTCCTTTCCACCAGAAGAAGCGCCCCCTTGAAAGTCAAAACACCTTCTTGGTCTGCCGATAAGACAAGCACCCAGAAAGGAAAAAAAGAAACTGCATTGCATCCGTCTAGCGAATGAACAGAATGCGAAAAACATGGCCATTAAATTGAACGAAGTGTCAAACGAGAACCTCATTCACTTTTTTAGAAACCATCCCAGTCCGAGTAACGGCTGCTCGAATTGTGCACTTCGAGTCAATACTGGAGAGGTCTCCAGCGAGAGTCTCATGCTGAGCATGAAACGCCCTCCACCAGTGCCACTGTTACACGTGTTCAAGCTTCTGGTCGTTGACTATGTCGTTAACTTTTAGCTCTCCAAAAAAGAAAAGCCAAAAGCCCCAGTCCGAAAAGGAATCGTCATCCGTCCTTGCAGTTGTTGGAGACTGCTCAGGACGCATCGCTGAGGCGAGAACCCCATTTTAATAACGAGCCATGCTCCATCCTGGCACCTGTTACAAAATGTTGCAACGAATGTGCGCGGCGCTAACGCGAGAGCCCCATGTTGAAAGGGGGTCTTGCATTCTCGTGAATATTGAAAATTTGACAGGACGAATGTGCGCAGCGCTGAGGCGAGAGCCCCATTTTGAAAATGTGCCGCCCTCCATTCCTGCAACTGCTGCAGACTTGTAGGACGAATGTGCGCGGCGCCGAGGCGAGAGCCCAATTTTGAAAAGGTGCCTCCCTCCAACCTTGTAGCAGCCTCGGGATCATAAAAGGTGGGGAAGCCTCAGGCGAAACGCCTGGCCTGCCCGCACCCTACCGACACGTCTGGTTGCGCTACAGGGAGGAGTTATGTGCAAGGAACACGAATGGAGGGCGAGCTTCAGGAGGAAGAGACAGGGGAGCTGGCCGAAACTCCTCGTCCCACCTTCCGCAGAGGCTGGCGCCCGCGTCCTCCTCCTCCTCCTCCTCCTCCTCCTCCTCCTCCTCCTCCTCGCTCGCTCGCTCGCTTGCCCGCTCGCTCACTCACTCACTCACTCACCCACCCACCCACCCCGCTGGGGCTCGGCTTGGGACGGCGTGCGCAGCAGAGACAGGCCTCCGCACGGAGCTCGCCGAGGCACCGGAGTCCTGGATGTGCTCGGGGCCCCGGAGGCCGACGGGGCACGCCCGAGGAGACCGCAGCCGTGGGCCGACACGGGCCCCCGAAGCCTCCGCGCGCGCCCGTTGCGCCACGGCGGGCCGGGGGCCGGGCGCAGCGGCGGGGCCGGGCACGAGGCGGCGCGCCGCGCGCGCCCGCACCGCAGGATCGCTGGCGTGCGCCCCGCCGGGAGGACGGCCCAGGATCCAGCCGAGGTGCAGCCAGCCGGGCTCAGGGCCCCAGGCCCCCTCGAGTCGCGAGACAATCGCGACGGGAGGCTCTTCGTCGCTGTTTTCGGCCTCAGGGGGCACTCACCGGCCCTCGGGGCCGTCAAAAAACGGCTCGGGATGAAAAGCCGGTCCCGGGGAATGGGTTCGGACTTCAGGGGGCCGCGTCATGAAAAAGGTATGGCGTCGGGGGTCTGGGACAGAAGAGCCTCCTTGAAGAGCAGGTCCTCCGCCGACCCAAGCTGAAGGACCTTCGGGGGTGCCCTCCCCCAGGATGCACGAGAGCATCCAACCAGCGCGGGAATGTCAGGGATACCCTCCCCGAGCCGATCTGATACCTCGGTCCGACTGTACGTCGTAGTAGGCCAGGGCAGACTAAAGCCAAAGTCGAAGCAGAAAGTCGGGATCGGCCGTCGAGACATATCCGATAGGCAGACATCGGCAGGGAGATCAGAAAGCATCGAAGGCGACGCCCGCCGGCCCAAACACCGAAGTCGGAATGAGGAGTCGAATCGAGATCAAAAATTGTAAGGTCGAACCGATTGGACTGAAGTGACAGAGACAGACTGGATCCTGTCCAGGGCCTGCCGCGGACTTGCAGCGTCCTGGCTTCAGGGGCCCTGGACGTGCACAGCGGCGCAACTGGCCAGACAGCTCCAGAGGCCGCGCGGGGCGCCTTCTGTGTCGCCGGCGCCGCGGCAGCCGCCGGCGCCTCGTCGCCCCCGAGCAGGTCGAGGAGGTCGCCACCGCCACCGCCACCACCTCCGGCACGCTCGGTCGCTGAGCTCTCGCCCCATCCCACCTCCTGCCTCCTCCGCCTCCGCCGCCTCCAGCCGCACCAATGTCAAACGTTGGGCGGTAACTCGTGGCCACGGTCTGCTGATGCACGTGCTCAGCATGCCGACTCCGAACGGCCCACCACGGGCTGGAGAAACACAAGTTGGAAACGAAACCTCCTCCTGCTCCTCCCCCTCTTCCCCCCCTTCCCGCCCTGCCCTCCCAAACCACCACGTCTCCGACAGGCTTGGCATCAGAAGCCAAGAAGAAAACAATCATGACCGCGCACGAGGCCCCTGCGCCCTTCTCTCTACGGCGGCTTCCGCGAGCCGCAAGCGCGGCGCGCCGCGCGGAAGCGAGGGCGCTCACTCGCGCTCTTCCGCGGGCAGCTCGCGCGCGAGTGTCCGCGCAGGCGGCCCCGTTCGCCCACGTCGCTCCCGTGCGTCCCCCACCTTGGTCGAGGCCGAGCAGGCCGCCGCGAGGGATGCGCCCGGCACGGCGGGCCGCCCTCCGCCCCTCCCGACCCCAGGGGCTCCGCGGCGCCGAGGGCGACGCTCCTGCTGCTGCAGCGCGCCTGGCCACGTGCGCCTCCAGGAGAGAGAAGGTGCTTCGGGGATGGACAGACCCCCTTTTAGTAAAACGTGGTTTAGTGGAAACGACCTGAGGCCCAAACCTGGCGGGCACAAGCCTGGAAAATAACGGCCACGGCGCCCTCTCGAGAACCGAAAAAGGACACTTCACTAATCGACCTGTCACTGTTGGGGGTTCTGTCCACCCCCGAGTGCTATACTAGACGCACGTTGAAGTCGGCGGCGAGCAGGGGGGGAAGTGAGAAGGAGAAGGCCTTCTCGGAAGGCGGCGGGGCTTAGAAGCCCTCGCGCCTGCTGAGAAGCTTCCATGTCTTCGGGGAAGGCTCGGTCGGGGACGCACTGAACCGGGTCAATGCAAACCCGGGTCAGTCGGGCTTTGCACGATCCTGCACAATCCGGCAAGATCCTGCACGCAAACCCGGGTCACTGCACCCCTGGCTCTGAGGGTCCTGCAAGATCCGGCGCTCTGGCTGACCCCCGTTTGCAATGACCCCCGTCTCAGGGCTCGCGGCTGAAAAAACTTCTGAGAAGGCCCGCCGCTTCTCTAGAGGCCTCCAGGATGGGTTCCGAGTAGATGAGGTTGGAAGATCGCATCGAATCGCAAGTGCATCGGCGATGCATCGACGACGTCGCCGATGCATCGGCGCTGTCGGCGTGGAGAAAATCGGGCTCCACCTCGCATCGCCGATGCTTCGTCGATGCGGCTCGGTCCTCCGACCCCGTCTGGGAGGCCTAGACTCTCAGCCCCCAGGCCCGCCGCTGGCGAAGGCTTGGGGCTCGAGGCTCTTGGGCGGCCTCTGCAGGCCTCAAGGGCACCGCCGGAGCCCTCGGCGGGGACCTCTGCCGAGACCTCTGCCGAGACCTCTGGAGGCCTCCGGAGGGAGAGGGGTTCCCGCGCAGTGGGGCTTTCCTGCCTCCCCCCTCCTCCCCCTCCCTTCCTCCCGCCCCCCTCCTCCCATTTGAGGGCCTTCCTCCCTCTCCCGTCCTCCCCCTCCCTTCCTCCCCCTCCCGCCGGCAGTGCGCCAGAATGTTTCGGACGCGTGCGAACCTCAAAGTAGCGTTGTCTGCCGGTGCGCCGCGCAAGCGCCTGGCACACCTGACCTGACCTGGAGATCCCGGGGAGCCCAGGGGCCTTCCTGGAAGATCCCGGGGAGCCCAGAGCCAGAAACTGGCCTCCGTGCGGCAGGGCCTGCGAAGCACCCCGCCCTGCTTTCTCCCGACGCGCTGGAACGCCTGGGCCCGGCAACCTCCAAACAGACCCATCCAGCGCCCCTCGAGCCGGAGGAAAAAAATGTTAGCGAATCAGATCGCGTGGTGGCTGCTTTTCCGGGCGCCTCCCGGCGCTGGAGGCGCCACTGCATCGGGGAAAGCCCCTGGCGGCGGGGCCGAAAGGGGCTGCGCGCAGCGCGGCTCTCTCGGAGGCGGCCTTCACGGCGGCAGCTCCCACGGCGGCGGCCCCCACGTCGGTTCCGACGGCGGCGGTTCCCACGGAGGCGGCTCCCACGGCGGCGGTTCCTACACAGGCGTTTCCTACGCGTGGCGAGTACCACGCAGGCGGCTCCCACGCACCCTGGGGCGGTTCCTACGGCGGCGGTTTCCACGCGGCGGTTCCTATGCAAGTGGATCCCACGTGCGGCGAATCCTACGCTGTTCAAGCGCAGAACGACCATGGACGAACTGTACGTGGAGAAGCGGCTCGGGTGGTTCCCTCGCGGCGGTTCCCATATTTGGGCGATGGCGTCCATGGGCCATCATCGTTTCAGTTTCCCCGGGCCGATAGTGCCTGGGACAGGTCGTTCCTGTCTCACCCGCAGGTGTTGCGGCACGCGGCGGGATGCAGCAACACTCGCCGCAGTGCATTGCGAGGTCCAAGCTGGTGCTACACACCAGCGTGGTCAGCTCCCCGCCTGTGTCCACGTAAACGTTGATTGACATTCGACAACACGCGACCATCAATAGCATCATCATCACCACCACAAAACCACCATCACGACCACAACAACAACAACAACAACAACAATCATTTAAGACTGGGGACACTCCGTTCTCACCAGTGCCAGGGTTTTCATAGGAGGCGGGCAATACCCCCACTTTGTGGGGGGGCCGGTTCAAGCTCTACCAAGTTTCCAAACGACTCTTCGCCACCACCCACACCCAGCTTCCCGCCCTATGACGTTCGGACACTTCACTTCGTGGCCTGCGGACGACCTTGGCTACTACACTGGCGCATGGGTACAATGACTTGTTGTGGTAACATTTTGTGGAAGCTAGCTTACTATACGACTTTTCCCCCTGCAATTGAAGATTTCGGCGTGCGCGCGCGAAGAAAAAACGAATGTGTCCCATATGGTATTATTTGACAGGGATGATGGCCCTGGCAGGCGCGCAACCTTTGTTGCAGAAGTTCGAAGCACGTGAAAAAGTTGCTCGCAAGAGCCCGTTTGACAGAAATGTTGAAAAAGTATTGGGTTTCCTAAGAAATCCGCAAGAGCGCGCGGGGTGAATTTTTGAAACCCTTTTTTTGAAAAACCATTGGGTTTTTCATGTTTTTATGTGAAAATCGCTACGAAGACTAAGGTTTTGGAAGGATTTCGTCTTGCGCGCGCGAATGTGCACTTCGTGTCATTTTTTGCAAGGGATTCTTGAAGTTTGGTCATGTTAGAACAAGAAATGTCATTTTATATTTTTTGACAGGGAAAGCGGGCGTCAACAAAACAACCGGATCTGGATGACATCGTTTTACCTGAGACTTCCTCACGAAAATGATGAAAATGTGGCTGCGGCCTAGGCGCGGCGGGGGGGGCGTGCACCAGGGGGCCCAACAATAATTATTCTTTAGAATTAATAATGTTCAACAATTACTAGCACGTGGGGACACTCCGTTCTCACCAGTGCCAGGGTTTTCATAGGAGGCGGGCAATACCCCCACTTTGTGGGGGGGCCGGTTCAAGCTCTACCAATTTCCAAACGACTCTTCGCCACCACCCACACCCAGCTTCCCGCCCTATGACGTTCGGACACTTCACTTCGTGGCCTGCGGACGACCTTGGCTACTACACTGGCGCATGGGTACAATGACTTGTTGTGGTAACATTTTGTGGAAGCTAGCTTAGTATACGACTTTTCCCCCTGCAATTGAAGATTTCGGCGTGCGCGCGCGAAGAAAAAACGAATGTGTCCCGCATGGTATTATTTGACAGGGATGATGGCCCTGGCAGGCGCGCAACCTTTGTTGCAGAAGTTCGAAGCACGTGAAAAAGTTGCTCGCAAGAGCCCGTTTGACAGAAATGTTAAAAAGTATTGGGTTTCCTAAGAAATCCGCAAGAGCGCGCGGGATGAATTTTGAAACCCTTTTTTTGAAAAACCATTGGTTTTTTCATGTTTTTATGTGAAAATCGCTACGAAGACTAAGGTTTTGGAAGGATTTCGTCTTGCGCGCGCGAATGTCCACTTTACCTTATTTTTTGCAAGGGATTCTTGAAATTTGATTATATTAGAACAAGAAATGTCATTTTCTATTGTTTTTTGCAAGGGAAAGCGGATTACAACAAAACAACCGGATCCTGTACACACCCTCTTTTCTGAGGCTTCCTCACGAAAATGATGAAAATGTAGCTGCGGCCTAGGCGGCGCAGGGGGGGCGCGCACCAGGGGGCCCAACAATAATTATTCTTTAGAATAAATAATGTTCAACAACAACAACAACAACAACAACAACAACAACACAACACAACAACAACAACAACAATTACTAGCACGTGGGGACACTCCGTTCTCACCAGTGCCAGGGTTTTCATAGGAGGCGGGCAATACCCCCACTTTGTGGGGGGGCCGGTTCAAGCTCTACCAAATTTCCAAACGACTCTTCGCCACCACCCACACCCAGCTTCCCGCCCTATGACGTTCGGACACTTCACTTCGTGGCATGCGGACGACCGTGGCTACTATTCAGGGCCCCGCGGCCGACGACGACGGCGTGCGCGCGCGAAGAAAAAACGAATGTGTCCCGCATGGTATTATTTGACAGGGATGATGGCCCTGGCAGGTGCGCAACCGTTGTTGCAGAAGTTCGAAAAAGTTGCTCGCAAAAGCCCGTTTGACAGAAATGTTTAAAAAGTGTTGGGTTTCCTACGAATCCGCAAGAGCGCGCGGGATGAGATTTTGACAATTTTTTGTTGAAAAACCATTGGTTTTTTGATGTTTTTATGTTAAAATCGCTGCGAACACTAAGGTTTTGGAAGGATTTCGTCTTGCGCGCGCGAATGTCCACTTTACCTTATTTTTTGCAAGGGATTCTTGAAATTTGATTATATTAGAACAAGAAATGTCATTTTCTATGCAAGGGAAAGCGGATTACAACAAAACAAACGGATCCTGTACACACCCTCTTTTCTGAG